TGTGATGCTGCTTGGCCTGCTGTGTTCAGCCAGCTCTACACCTTGTTATCTCAAACCCCTCCCAGTCCCTGTTTACAATCCACATAGGGCTCCCCAGCCATTTCTCTATCTCACACTATGAGCACAGCCTTCAATTTATTTCCTTTGAAGAGTTTAAACCGTCATCCCCTTCAAGAAGTATGAAACTGATTGTGCATCAACAGACTCAGCAGAATGATTATTCCAACTGCACAGCATTACCTCCCCACTGTGAAATTAAACTCAAGAAATCTACTGATTCCAGGCTCAAGGGAGTGATTTCGGGAGAGTAATCTAATTTTGGTTAGGACGGAGACAGTTGAATAGAGTCGTCAACCACTTGAGCTTCAAAGGATTTAAATTTCATTTCTTTAATTTAATCATGCCATCAGTCACCCCCTCCCCAAGGAGTGCTGTGCACTGTCAGCATAATTCTCTGTGGGGAGCATATGTTCAGAGGTTGAAATGCAGGTGATTACACTGCAGGAAGCACTATTACTGGTGCTAGGTTGCCCTTGAGAATTGGGCAGAGCCTTAAACACAGCGTCACCTTCTGTGGGTTTCTGCTTTAAGTCACAGGGTTAGAATTTATTTTGTAAAATCGCCCCTGGGTAAATGTCGGGACTCTAGGAATTCACAAGCAACACTGTTTGCTTCATGGGTCAGGCGCAAAGACCATGTTGAACGAAATGCCTCCTGTTTTCTCATCTGAGGTTGGTCATGAGCAAAGAATTCTGGGCATGGAGCAGAAAAGGTGAAGAAAAATTCAGTGGTTACTTACTGAATTAAACTGAAGTTTTCAATGAAGAACTTTATTCGGAGGAACAGTGTGAAGTTTACGATTGTAGTTTTCTTTTTGGGTTGATCCTTCCATCCACTGGGTGCCACCTTGTACAGCTTGGTAAAATGGTCAAGAAAAAAGAATTCTTTATCTGTAAAATGAAGGGAAGTGGGAACATCCCAAAGATTAGGACCAAACAGGCGACAATGCCAGGAGAGCTGTTTTGGCTGAGGACCTTAACGAAATCCAGGTTCCAGATCTTTCCATTATAACTCCTGCACCAAACAATTACTTTTGAGAGGGTCTGAGAGAAACAGATAGGTAGAGAGACAAAGAGCTCAGAAAGATAGCATGAAGGAGATAGATGGGAAGATTGAATGCAATCAGATATAATTAGCAAGAGAGAGCATTGCAAAGATAAAGACACTAAAAGAGGGCATGAAAACCGTGATAGCTAATTAGACTAAAAAAGAAGAGGCAGAGGTTGACAGGGAAAGCAGTATGGAGATCCCTTGTGACACAGAGAGTGCATCACCTGATGTGGTAGTAAGCCAAATGCACTGACTCTCATTTTTAATCTAAGACAGGGAGCAGTCAGGCTCTAAGTGTCAAGGGAAAAATCAGCTAGGGCTTATGTACCTAATCAGTCTCCAATCATTTTAGCTTAGCTCATTTGGGTGCACTGTCACCTCTGAATTAGAAGGCTGTGTGTTCACACTTCACTTGCGAGCGGAACATACAGGTTACAAGGATATTCTGAAGCAATGCTGTGGAGTTGGAGAGACCATCCTTTGAATGAGAGGTTCAAAGAATATTAAATATCCCAACGCACTATTTAAAGATGGGCAGGAACCTTTCTCAATGCCTTCATTCAGGGTTCCACTGGAACAATCATAGGGAAGACACATGGGCCTTACAGCAAGTGTAATGTAGATTTACCAGTTCTCCAAGGGTTAAGATATGAGGAGACTTAAAATAATCTAGGATTGAATCTTATAATTTAGTCATTTAGAAGGTTAAAGGGCGATCTGTTCCAAGTTTTTAAGATATTAAGGGGAAAGTGAAATTAATTGGGAGACGTTATTTCCACCGGGTGGGGAATATAGGAGCAGTTAGAGTCTAAAACAGGGCTTCCCAAAGTGGGACCCAGGACCATAAAATCCAAGAGTATAATTCTACAATGAAGCTCAGACCAAGTTAAAATAACCATGCTTCCACTCTAAATGACCTTGTTCTCATATTCTCACAGAGGGGTCACAGCGGGAAAAGGCTTGGGATGCACTGGTCTAAACATTCGAACCACATCTTTCAAAGGCGAAATTGGGAAAATCATCTAGACACACAAAGGATGTTAGACGTTTGGAGCTCGCTTTGCAAACAGCAATTGGTGCTGAATTAATTGTTGATTTTATGACTTGAGTTTGACAGATTTGTGTCAGTTACAAGATCATGGGGCAGTGCTAAACAATATGGAATGAGCCAAGAATCCCATTGTTTGCAAAACTTCCACAGGGATCTAAATGGTCAAGTCCCCTAATAATTGGCCATTCCTCACATTGTGGCTCAATGAATTTTGCTCTTCATGAAATGCCGGCATGTCACTAAATCTCAAAGCAACTGATTGCAAGTGCATCAGACATTTCTGAGAAATGTGATCAGGTGGGGATGCAGCTCAGCTCTGGTGTTTTTCATATTACTAGTCTTCCAGCAACACCAATGCCACGAATCTCAATCTCAAACTACATCCAGCACAATACAAGTTTCCACAGCCTTAATAACATCAAGCAACTCAAACTGGACATTCCTCCAAACTGAATGAACCACACAGTGAGTTTCCGCCAATCGGGCCTGTTGGCAAACCATTAAGGAGGCTCTAAAATCTATGCACTTAAATAAGACCAAGGGCACTAATGTGCCTGTTTTCAAAGATTTTAGGTTTTTGAATTTGCTACACCAAGGAAACTGTTAAATCCTTCTTTATGTTTTTAAATGACATTTTCAAAGTTTAAAATTGGGTCACTGATGGTGGATGAGACACTGACAAAAGATGCTTATTTTTTTGTGGTAAACCTATTTTCAGCTCTATTAATAAATCAGCACCAGGTTACTTGTTGTATCAAGGGATATTTTTTTCATGCAAATTTTTTATGCTCTGAAACATGGCCTGATTGTACACATTCATGACAGATTTTACGTTTGACAATTTGCAAATGGGTTTGTGTGGAAACCTGATGAGAGAATTACTTCTCAAAACACAAATAATTTTCTGTGTGCTTCGTAGCCAAAGTAGGATTACTTACCCATATTATATGGGTGTGGCAGGATATGCTAACGGTGCTGGGATCGTGAGCCAGAATTTGCAACTTAGAGTCACTGCAAGTTTTAAAAATACATTCAATAAAGGCAAAGCTACAAAAATACAAGTGCACTTGTGGACATCAGGTCAAGTATAGGATTATGGTTGGATCTAGTTCTTCTGTCAACATTTAATGTATAAGGTGAATATCTGAAGAAGGAGGATGTAAGGGTCCCAGAACTCTGAATCTACCTACTGAATAAAAGAAGATCATGAGCCATCGGGAGGTCAGAGGTTAGAAATTGTGCACAGAGTAACTCACCTCCCGACTCCTCACTAGTCTGGATGGGGGCAACTCCAACACTAGATGCTTGGCACTAAAGAAAAGCTACCCCCTTGATTAGCACCCCATTCCAGCCCTCAGCATTCAGTTCCTGTGCCACTGATACACAGTGGCAGTAGTGTGTACCGCCTACAAGATTCAATGCAGTAATTAACCAAGGCTCCTTAGACAGCACCTTCCAAACCACTGACCCCACCAGAACAATAGGAATATCTCCACCCAGTGAACTGTGGCAGTCCAAAACATTTGCTCGCCAACTTCTCCAAGGCAGCTTGGGATGGGCTATCAGTGCTGGCCTGGCCAGCGATGCCCACATTTAATCTCTTTAAAATACTCACTGTTTTCAGAAGACAAGGAGAAAGCGCTGAGAAGAATGAAGGCAAGTGTACTCTTCAAATTTCTGACATACTCGTGCAAGTAAACATTACAAAACTACCCATATGAAGTCTGGAATTTGATCATCTTCATCCATGCTTTAACAATTCATGACTCACCTCATCACCCAACGCCAAGAGAGGGCCTGCATTCCTTTATTAACATAAAATTATAGATGGAAGACATATACATGGTATCTGGAGAGCACACAGGCTAGCCTTATCATCAAGTCTCCCACCAGATGTCCTCTGCCATCCATAAAATATCATTTTCTTATTGGACTCGGACCAGAGTTCCAGATCAGCATTGAGCCTATTCTTAAGAGGTGCTGCTTCAGAAAGTCTCAGTAGTAATGCTTTCAAAATTGCGTTGTGCAATGATTATACTCTTGGATGAATGAGATACTCACTTATTTCTATCTAATTAGCTTGTGGACATTGGACAGGGATGGAATGTTTGTTGGACCAGAAAATTGGCCAAGCTGTGGGAGATTAGGTATATTCAATAGACAAACACTTTGAAAGTAAAGACCTTTCTTTGACTTGTATTAATCACGTGTCTAATGGATGAATGATTTCCCAATTGGGCAACAAAAACAGGATTTGGTGCTTTTAAACTGGACCAATATGAATAAAGATCTATGCAAATCGATCCAGGAAGTGTTATGGGTGCTGAATAGGTTGTAAGATCAGACAGTGCTGGATAAGGTGCTCCACATTTGGAGGACTATGAGCAGTTCTGATCCCCTTACTGAAGAAAAGATATGATTCATTGGAGGCACATCAGAGAAGGTTCATTGGGATGATCCCTGGTATGGAGGGATTGTCTTATGAGCAAAGGCTAAACAGGTTGGGACTCTCCTGGAGTTCAGAAGAATGAGAGATGATCTCATTGAAACATATAGGATTCTAAAGGGGTTTGACAGAGTAAATACTGAGATGATGTTTCCCCTTATGGGAGAGTCTAGGACCAGAATGCATAGTCTCAGAATAATGAAACAACTATTTGGTCTACTCTTTGTTTATACAAGAGCTACAGGCAATGTTTCTGAATGAGCTAACAACAGATGAACGTTGGACGATAGGCAAGTATTTGCTGCAAGACTCACCTTTTAGGTAAGCAAGGCCAAAATAGAAATGCTCCACAAGGTTAGTATAGGCCACCACCATATCAAAGACATCACTGCCCTTAGAATTCACATCACATTTCACATCCAGACACTGTCCATTTGGTATGATGACACTGAGCTCTCGTTGGGATAAATGTACTTTTCCTTTCTTGCTCTGTAAAGACAGGAGTTAGTCCTCAATGAGGGTCTGATAGTAACCATGGACACATCAAGACAGCATAGAGCAAATCATAGAATGGCATCAGGAATGCTTTCCAACTTAATCACAAAATGTCCCAAAAGCAGTGGGAGGTGCTGAATCTCTACCCAGTTTGCCCTTCATTCTAAACTTAGCAAATAGGGGCAGTAGTAGGCCATTCAGCCCTTCAAGCCTGCTGTACTATTTAACATGATCATAACTCCGTACTCTGTTGCTGTTTGCTCCTTGTACAGTTTCATGCCTTACCTCTAAGAATTTTATCTAACTCCTCCATGAAAACATTCGATGTTTTGGCCTCAACTACTTCCCGTGACTGAGAATTCCACAGATTTATTGCTCTCTGGATAAAGAAATCTTTCCTCATCTTGATCCTAAATGGCCTATCCTATGTCCTTAAACTGTGACCCCTGGTTCTAGAGTCCCTAGTTATCAGAAACATCCTTCCTGCATTTCCCCCTGTCCAGTCTGGTTAGAATTTTATAGGTTTCTAGGAGACTTCCCCCCTCCCTCATTCTTCTAATCCTGAGTGAATATAGTCTGAACTGATCCAATCTCTTCATACGTCAGTACTGGCATCGCAGGAATCAGTCTGGAAAACCTTTGTTGCAGTCTTTTCATCACCAGAGCACCTTTCTTTCGATAAGGAGACCAAAACTACACACATTACTCCAGGTGTGGCCTTACCTACACCCTGTAGTGTTGCAGCAAGGCAACCTTCTTCCTGTACTCAAATCCTCTCGCTGTGAAGATCAACATACCATTTGCTTTCTTCATCACCTGCTGCATCTGCATACTTACTTTCAGTGACTGGTGCACAGGGACACTCAAGTCTCGTTGCACCTCTTCCTTTCCCAATCTACCACCATTCAGATAACAAACTGCCTTGCAGTTTTTAAACCTCTCAATGGGATGTGGGAATCGCTGGCAAGGCCAGTTGATCTTGCCTATCTCTAATTGCCCTTGAACTAAATAACTTGCTGGGCCATTTTAGCATCAATTTAAGAGTCGATCACATTGCCGTGGGTCTGGAGTCGCATGTAGGCCAATGATGCAAACAAATGTTAATGGTATCACAGAATCATAACTGCTCTTTGAAATTATCTTCACAATCATTTGAAATTCATCTACATTTTTCACCAGTCCCATCATTTAACAGCTTTCCCTTTGACTGACCAGGCTAGAAAGTATCACTAACTCTCATAGAATCCCTACTCATTTTGGTGGAGGCCATTCAGCCCACTGATTCTACACAAACCCAATCCAAAGCCCATATTTACGACAGCTAATTCACCTAGCCGGCACATTGTATGAAGGAAACAGGAGCACCTGAAGGAAACCCACGCAGACACGGGGAGAACATGCACACTCCACACAGGCAGTCACTCAAGGCTGGAATTGAACCTATGTCCCCGGCGCTGTGAGGCGCCAACACAGAACCACCAACACCCTGTTGGCAGGCAAGGGCCTAGATGCACTCTCTGAGAAACAACACGTTCAAAAGGAATGAAACCAGTGACACAGAGCAGAAAAAGAACCTGAGTTTGACCTGGAGCCATTTTACCAAAAGAGGGCAGAAATGGCCCATCAGGCAGCGACATGTCTCACATGCACTCAAACAGTTATCTCCAAGGTAACAGGCCATTTACCTTGTACAGTCAAGGAAGACAGCACTGCAGTCAGTGCTGAGGCCTGTGTTGAGACTGGGATGTGATCAATGTGGCCTGCAGGCTTGTTTCCTCAAAAACAGTGTCGTCAGCCTCTCTGCTCCTATGATGCTGCTTGGCCTGCTGTGTTCATCCAGCCCTGCACCTTGTTGTGTGGGATGCAGTGTTTGGTTGTGGGACACCACTCTAACCAATAGGGCTGCCGTGCCACAGTCATTCAGGCTTGTTGGCAAACACCTTGCATTAGCAGCTGGCAAATATAAAATGGTCAATTGAATTGAATTGAATTAGCTTAACTGTCACATGTACTCACATGAGTACAGTGAAAAGATGACAAGTTGCCACTTATGGCACCATCTTAGGTACCTAGGTACAGATTCTCAAGTACAAATATTTAACGAAAAAAAATAGAAAAATAAGGAAATAAAATGTCTAGCATTACAGAAATTTGAAAGTACAAAATCGTAGAAATAATTTGGAAAAATAAAGAACTAAAAAGTTCAGAATAACAGTGCTTCCGCCATAATATAACAAAGTCACATATTAAACCAGATTTCTTACCGCAATGGAGCCAGGTAAGTCTAAAGGCATTGCAGGGTCACCAGCTACTTTAACAAACTCTGGTCCCAAATATCGCTGTCAAAGAAAATAGAAAACACATCATAAATTTACATATACAAAAACAAAGTTGCTGGAAAAGCTCAGCAGGTCTGGCAGCATCTGTGAAGGAGAAAACAGAGTTAACATTTCGGGTCCAG